TTTATTATTCAATTAAATTAATTACTTAAATCAGAAATTGTCCCATTGGCGAGAATTTTACCTGATAAAAAATTTGTAGGTTATGATAAGATTCACCATTCACATGGTTCTAGACAGTTGTTAATAATTTGATAAAATGGGGAATTTGAACATTTTGAATTGAAAGTTATTTTTCCTGTTTAATCATAAGCACTTGTGTTTATATCTTCAATAACCTGTCTTATATGATATAGTGAAGTAAATTTGTATTCATTTTAACATTTTGAAAGAGGGGTGAGGGAGGAGAGGGGGAGATCACTTTTCACAACCAAAATACTGAATTTGAAATAAAAATTTATTTAACCAACATTTACATCAAGCGCATACAAAAATTGCAAATGAAGTGAGTAAAATTTTACTTTAATAGAGTTAGTATGGAACTTGACCAAATATGTTTGTTAAATCGACTATCTTGATTATAATATATTCTTTATACGAATAAAAATGATTTACGTATATTTTTTTATGTTTTAAATGTATTAGGAGAAAAAGTAGATATTTAATGTGAGTTTTCCCATAGATATACTAGTGTTAATATTATTATATAATTTGATATAAATAATTCTGTTAAGAAATGTTATATAATATTATAAGTAGAGAACGAATTTTCATGTTATTGCACAGTTTATTTGCTTGTGTGTAAAAACTTCCACAATCTATAGAATAACATATCCAAACACGCGATTGATCAAAATTTTGATTTTTTGCATCAAATAGCATATTTATTGAGCTTGGTTTATAAATAGATATGATAGATGATATATAAATATATACATGTGTTTAAATATTCATCATCATATTTTATTATCTTCTCCATATTAAATTAGAATAACTGTTTTGTTATAAAGATATTTATTGTTAGTTTTGACTTGCATTCCCATCCATTCTTCAGCCATCAACATGCCTTTATGTCCGGCTTTGAAATTAATTGTAGTAATTTCATTATTATTAAAAATTAAAAAAAAAACAATCGAACAATGCCGAAAGTAGGATATAGTCTCTAGTCAAAAAATTAAATTTTGGAGTCTGATTTTTGATCAAAATTTGATGGGAAAGTGGTCTTCTGTAGGTTCTGTGAAAAATCAATCAGGTTTGATAGGAAATCAGATATAGATGTTCACTGTAGACAGGTAAGAAAAAATATTCCTATTAAAGAATTGAATGTTTTTTTTAGAAAGAACAAAAGTTCCAAAAATATGTTTTTAGTGATCTAGAACAAGGGTCTCCAAACTAAGGACCTTATTTATTTGAGCGTATTGACTCAATGAATATGATTGTAATACTCAATAACTGAAAATATTGTGTTCAAATTTATTATATTTTGCATTAGTTGTTTCCTGCAACAAATATAATATGATGGTTTATCTTATACATTATAGGTTATTTATTTAGAAAATAATTGGAACAATGTAACAACAAAGCCGTGCAAAAGTCAATACAATACACAATACGTGTGACTCATTATTTATTTTCCTGCATTTGAGTGACTTTTCTGAAGTTTTAATATCCTTTATTACTTCTTATTTTTACTTTCCTACCTACACTAGGTAAGGAAAATATTGCAATCGGGTCAAATTGCTGACATGCAGTTTTCGACGGATCTATACAGAGCCCCCTGAGTCCGAAAAACACATTTTTAGCCATTGAACTGTCTGTCTGTCAGTGCCAAGATTTTCTCAGGAAATACTGGACCGATTTTGTTGTTTTTTATTTTGTAGGGTTTTGACTACTGATGGCTGTGACAGAAATTCGGCGCTTCATGTGCAATAAATGAAAAACATGTTTTTCTATAGACTGTAGCGCCGTTTCAAATGGGCCGTTGCGATCAGGTCAAATTTTCGATATGCGGTTTTAGACAGATCTATACGTTTCAGAGCCCACTGAGCCGTTTTGCCTGTCATTTTAAAGGTTATGAAATTCCCTACAAAGCCATATAAAAATTGTTAATTTTGGACAACTATTAACGAAGTTACAGCTATTCAATTTTCAATGTAAGATTTCGGTTTCATATCCTGGTGTCAGAAAGGGGTGAATGAGAGAATAAAGATAAAATGAAAGTAAGAATATCTGTTGCCCGCATCACACAAGCTTCACCATTTCCTCTACTTTTAACATAAATTATTGTTTGACAATACTAAGCTATGCCAAAAGGTTAGGAAGTATTGAAATTTTTACACTGATCTACCTTAAACCGGTTTACATTGCTTTAGTTTATCAAATAAATCGTACTAAAATGTTATGTTTGATCAATTTTCAGGAAACTGTATCCAGTTCAATTCTTTTTTGTTTATTCATGAACATATGTAAAGATATAAAAACTTTTCTGAAATAGGTAGGAAAGTCGTGTGAGTGGACAGACCAGATATTTTTTATTTTGTTTTGCTATTATAGTAGTTTGTGTTTACATTAAAATATTGTATTATTCATTCATGTCATGGGAGATGTATAATATGAAAATTATTCTCAGAAATGAAATACATATTACCACCTGTTTGGAGACTCCAAACTACGGCAAGCACCTCGAATCCGATCCGCAGAGATTTCTTTGAAACATGATAAAATTTTAAAAATATGAAATTTAGTAAATCATTCAAACACGGAATTACTGCAACATCTATTTTACAAGTTATTTCTCTTTAAAAGCTCATATTACAACTGAAGTGTCATTTATAGAACAAGATAGTTTTTTAATCACAACCCGTAATCCGGGTGCTTAGTTGAGGTATCAATGCGGGCGTAGTGGACACCTCAATGTGGACTGTGGGCCAAAAAGTTGGGAGACCCCTGAAATATTATTTTCAATGATGCATTTTAATTTTTTCTTCACTTTACACATTATTTTAACTAAGAAGTTCCAAAACAAGATTCGATCAGAATTCACTGTATTATTAAAATAAATTAAACAAAACTGATGATTATTGCACTTTTTTAGATGTTAATTACACAATTTAACATAAGTTGGTTTTTACTGCACAATTACGCACACTTTTAGTTTTTGCTGCACATGTTACAGATCTTTACAGTATGAAGATCTATTCTGTAATTATAAGTGTCATATAATTATATAAATGGTGCTGATAATATTAAATAATTAATCTAGACAATTGTTCAAAAATAATGCTGGTTATACACAAAAAGTACTAGAGATCAGAGATCAGAAAATATAGAAATTAGTATTATAAATCTCAAGTAAAATTTATTATAATTATTTGATATATTGTTTTAAAACATTTAAAGTAGATCGAGAAGTAAGGAATTGTTTTAAAATTCACAACTTAAATCATGTTTTAAATGAACAGAAGGTAACAGCTTCAATGACTAATAGCAAGGCGAGGATACAGACTGTGGGTCACCAGTTTCAACTAAATTTTTTTTGGTGATACTTCATCAGAAAATATTGGACACATGTCCCGTCATTCTTTTTAAGGGGCCCAAGGAGCCGAAAAAAAATTTTTAATATAATTTCAAACAAAATTCATTTTATTTATTTATGCCTTTGCTTGGCCCGGGTTTTTAGGTAAATATATATCAATCATTTTGTTTTTTTCATGCAGAATAATTAAAAAATATTAATTACGGTGAGTTTGGTTGGATGTTGGGTGATGTTGTGTATTTTATGTTTTTGTGGATGGGTGGTTTGGGTGGAATTTGTGGGTTTGGGGGGGGTGTGGTTTTGTGGAATAATGAAGGGGATGGTTATGGGGGGGGGAGTTGGGGATGAGGTGGGGGGGTGGGTTGGGGGGGGGAGGGGGGGGGAAGGTGGTTGGGTGTTGGTAGGTGTGGATTGTTGGATTGGGGGTAGGGTAAGATGGAGAAAGAAGATAAAGAGTTGTGATAGGGTGTTTTCGAATTTTTAGGAGTATTTTGAGATATAGTGGTAGGTTGTGAAGATTTTTGTAAATGTGTTATAGTGGTTTGTATTTTTTTAATATTTATTTTGTGTATGTATATTGTGTTTTTTGGAGTATATGTTGGTAATTTTATTTGGAGGAGTAGGGTTTGTAGTGGTGTTTTTAATGGGTGATTTGGTTTGTGTTTGGTGGTATTTATTGTTTTTGTGTATGTTTTTTGTAATTTGTTTTATGTGGATATTGAGTTTTTGTATTATTGTTGAAAGGTATTAGATGATATTTGTAGTTTATTGTTGTTTTATTTTGTTATGTTTTGTATGTTTGGTTGTGGGTGGTTGGGGTGTTATAATGGATAATATATTGTATGTTGGTGGTTTTTTTTTTTTATTTTTAATTATTGTATGATTGAATGTATATTTTATTAGTGTGTTAGTTAGGTTATGGTTAATTTGTGTTTGTTTTATAGTCTTTAGTGTTTGTTTTTATATTCTTTTATACGAATAAAAATGATTTACGTATATTTTTTTATGTTTTAAATGTATTAGGAGAAAAAGTAGATATTTAATGTGAGTTTTCCCATAGATATACTAGTGTTAATATTATTATATAATTTGATATAAATAATTCTGTTAAGAAATGTTATATATTATTATAAGTAGAGAACGAATTTTCATGTTATTGCACAGTTTATTTGCTTGTGTGTAAAAACTTCCACAATCTATAGAATAACATATCCTTATAACAAAAAGTGCAACAATTAATAAATTCATGTAGAAATTAATTAACATCACCAATATACAATCATTAACTTCAGCAGAAGATTGACAATCAGTAGAATCACTAATTTAGTAAATTACTGCTAGAAAAATTGGCACACTCTTGTACAGTTCTATTCATCAAAAAAGTAACAGGATAATATTATCAATGGCCATCATGGTCATCAAATAAAAAGTTATTAAAATAAAAAATAGTTCAAGAGAAATCAGGATAAGAGATTAAAAATATTTATTTATCCTAAATAAAAATAAAATTCAAAGCTTGACTACATATAAAATTGGTACATACCATGCTCTGAAGGTCAAATCAGTTCTTTTAAAATATTAATGACATTTACTTTTCCATAGAAATATTTGATGACGGCAATTGCTGGTGCTGTAAATTAGACCTAATTATCAAAACTACAAGGGGTTCCAAGAACAGAAAAATCATAGAATGGAAGAAATACATACCTTTTCATTATCAATACAGAATTGTTGAAACATGCGCTGCATTTTTTTTGATTTGCCAGATATTTTATAGTTTTCTCTTCGTTTGGTAAGGTAATAATACTTGACACAGTCCGCAACACTCTTTTTAACAATAAAAGAAGCAATTCTTCCAAAATTCTTGGAAAACTGAATGAACTTTTCTTTAAATATTACTTTTTCAGTAGGAGTCCATAAATTTAAAAATTCCTTCTCTCCTGTTACTTTAACATCTGTTACTAAGTTATTTTGATTATGGAAAAATTTAGCCCTTTGTTCAGAATCTAACAATACTGGCAGAAGTGCTGAAGATGATTTTATCCAACTATGGCCTAAATTCTCAAAATTTAGTTTTCGTAAAACTTCTTGGTAGTCAGCTTCACTTAAAACATGGTCACCAGTTCTTTTGGACCTTTCTCTTGTAAATTTCTTTTTTTGTAATTCTGGAAAAACTGTTTCAAAATAATTTCTGTTCTTCATTTCCTTAGATTTATGTCTACGCGAGTTCTCAACCTTATTGATATTATTTTTCCACTTGCAAGCCAAATGAGAATACAGTCTAAGCAATGATTTCTGAGTTTTCACTTTTGCAACATACTTTCTACGCAATAATATCTTTAACTTTTCTTTAAATAAAATAAAACATTTCTTGTTTTCATGATAAACTGCTGTATCACATGGTTGATTATACATAGGAAAATCCAATTGAGGACCTAAATGGAGCATAATGCTATGGGCTTCATGAGCTTTTTGCTGGTTTTCTGTTATTATGTTATGAAATAAACTATGATTGATAGGCTGTAAAACTTGCTTTAGTTGCTTAACAGAGGGTTTCTTCTTGGCAGCTTCGAACTTTTTTCTTTCCTCTATTTCAAATTCAATTTCAGTTATTTTACTATCAACATTAGTAATACTTTGAAGAAGTTTGGTTTTGGTTGAATGTGAATCAAAATTGCAAAAAGCCTGGCAGGGTGGAGAAGTTGAAGATTTGTTTTCTATGATTTGAGACAAAGACACAACTTGTTCCTTTCTCTGATAGAATTGATTATCAATAACCTCTTCTATAGGCTGGTGGAGTTTTGGGGGAATAACATTCTGATTCCCATAACAATTATAACTGTTGTTTTGGTAAAGTGCTGGCAAATAAACTGGATTTGGTAATAACGGTGAAATTTTTGGTCTTTGATGTCTCCTAAATAAATCGATAAAATGTGAATTTCCATTAATAAAATTTGAATTCCTGAATACTTCTTTATTGCAAGGAATAGATCGTCTCTCGTGAGCACTCATAGCAAGACGCATGTACAAATAGCAATTACTTCATTAAAGATGTAACAATCACTTTGTAACTATCCGGAAAATATCCCACTTAATATTCAGTCAAATTTTTGAAAACTGTGCAACTTCCCATCCATGAAACAACCCAAAACGATGGCGTAAGACTTAACAATACTTTCTTCACCGAAAGTAAACAGAAGAGGAGGAACAAACCTCAAGCAATGCTGCCAAATAGGAAAGAACAGAATAATATTCTTAGGATACCCATTACCTTCAAAATTAATCATAAGAAAATAAGTTATTTTATTTCTTATATTTAATATTAATCTTAAATGTTTCAATCCAAAATATTAAAAGAACAAAATAATTTTCAATATATTTTTTTTACAAAAACAATAAAATTAACGTGTATAAATTAAAGATAGTGTCAGAAATAAACAATGAAATATTTTTCTGAGTATATGTTGAGGAATTAAACTGAATATACAAAAATATTTTATTCACAGAAGAAAGAATGCCCGCCTGAGAACAGAAATCCTTATTACTGTACTATACAGTGGAACTCTCCGTTTTATCTATGAACAAGTTTTAATTGGTAATATTTTATTGTCTTTCCATAGTTTTATTTATATATGACATTTCTCATTTAAAAAAAATGTGGCTAGAGAATAGTTTATCTCTGTTTAGTTTGTTAAGTAAACGATATCCAGCAGTTAAGTTTTAGTCGACTTCACTAGCGGATCCAGGATTTAATTTTTTTTGGGGAGAGGCTTCAGCCCGAAAGCTTTTTTTCATAAAAATAACGATAACTACTTCAGAAAAAAATAAAGAAACTAACTAACTATATGAAATGGTGTTTAAGTGATTTGTAAAGTCATTTTAAATGTAATTACTCGAACAATAATACTTTAAGAGGTAATTTTTTTATATTTTTTCCATGCAACATGGTTATATTTTACCGTATTGAGGGAGGGCTTCAGCCCCACATGCCCCTCACCCCCGTAGATCCGCCCGTGGTCGACTTATTTAAGCTTTTTTTCTGAGTCGACAGGAAGTGCTTATTTAGCTTTCATCACTAGCGGGTCCAGGATTTAATTTTGTGGCCCCCGAAACTTTTTTTTTTCATAAAAATAACGATAATTACTTTGGAAAAACAGAAAGAAACTAACTACCTATATGAAATGGTGTTTAAGTTATTCCTTAAGTACTTTTAAATGTAATTACACGAACAATAATACTTTAAGAGGTATTTAAAAAAAAAAATTCCCATAAAACATGGTTATATTTTTCCATTTTGGGAAGGGGGACTTCAGCCCGAAAGCCCCTCCCGTAGATCCGCCTGTGGCTTTCATAATTATTAGGATTTTCAATGAATTCTAAAACCGACTTTATACATCTTTGAAATATTATATTTGTTCATTTCGTAATGTTCAAGAAACGTTTTAGTCGTTTCCTTTCTAAATCGATATTTTTTCACCTTCCAGCAGTTAAATATTATGTATTTAATGATTAAAGTATATTTTAATATCTAGGAGTACCGACCGAATTACTTACATTTTTTTTTAAAATGAGACTAGGCGTTTTACGATGTATATATAGTACATAAACATAATGTGTCAGGTAGTTTAAAATTAATGCTAAAATGTATTATTTTTAAAGATACAATTAAAATTCTAAATTTACATCAAACATGTTGATTTTGATCTTCTGATACCTCTCTTATTGTCATTGAATATTAGAAAAAAAATTGGAAGTACCTCTTATTTCATTAATAACTTTCATTTCTAATTAATTTTTGTTAATTTAATAGTTTGTTAGTTTTTTTAAATCATTCTTATTTTTTTCCTAAATAAATTGAACCATATGTAGTTCTACTTTTACCCACGATAGCGCTAGCTATTTGAATTTAAAAATTAATTATAACTTAATAATCCGGTATTTTATATAATTAAGTTAATTTAAACTCAATTAGTGATGTAATTTGAATATTTTAATCTCTCTATCTTGGAGCTACAGTTAAAAAATTCTTTGGTCACAAAAAAAGATTATTTAACTAAATATTTAACAATTTATGTTAACCAACTTTTTCTTTTATTTAATACATGTAAGTATTTATTTCAATAATGTTACTAACAATATCTATAGGTTTTTTCGGTAATGGTGAGCATTTTCAACTTCTGTATTATGTGAACAAAATAAAATTTTGTAATTATTGAAATAACATTGGCTTGTCGAATTAAATGAAGTTATAGTTTAAAACAAGGGAGTGGGATAGCTCAGTGGTAGGGTACTGAGCTTCCAATGCTAAAGGTCTCAGGTTCGAACCCTAGCTCATGGCAGAAAATTTATTTATTTGTTTCATTGGCCGTGGGACAACCCTGGGTCAGGAGACCCTCCTTGGGGGCACACCCAACCTCTATAAAGTGGGTACCCTTAATTAGATAATTAGTTAAGGGAGAGAACCTAGTGGTTGAGAGTGATCTCGGTCAGATCACCTCCTTGTACAACCATTGCCCCAGAAACAGTGCTTTCCCTAAATAGTACTGAACCCAAGACCCTTCATGGATTGTAGTGGTTCAGATTTTTTTTTATATATCTATAATGAAAATAATAATAATAATAATATGGTAAAGGTTATGGTTTAAAACAAGTGTTCAACATTATAATTTGGTAAGTATTAGGTCATAAATAAGTACTTATTACTGTGAAATTTACTTGCAACTGCTTATAATTCTGTTTTACATCTTACCTTTATAACAAATCTGGTTTTATATAAGTTTAAGATACTAAACCAGTATTTATATAACTACTTTTTTAAATATTTCTTAATTGTAGTTAACTTATTGTTAGATTACAACATCATAGTTGCTATTATTATACTAGATCTTAAATTATTTTATTTTGTTCTTATTTCACTGTATATTAATTGGTTATCACCTTATTTATTTATGATTCTGTGAATATGGTGTGAATGTGCTCTCCGAACTGTATTATAAGTGTTCTTAATTGAGACAGATTGTAATATTTATCAATAAACAAGTAATCAAAAAGATCTTAAATGTTTCATATCTATATTAAGGTTTAAATTTATATATATTTAAGTAATATATACTTCCCATAATTTTCAATATTTCTTAATTGTTGTTGACTTAGATTGCATCCATTTTAGTTGCTTATTCTTTACTACATATTACAGATTTCATTTAAAATAAAACTAGAAGGTGACCATTGGGAATGGTCAGTAATAAAATACAGTAAATAATTGAATTTACATTTTAGATATTGTTAGTAATTCTTACTATCTTTCACTTCTGACTATACCCTCCAAGCAACATCTCTTAGGTTTCATAAATGCTATAATCGTTACTGTTTAATATTTAATTGTATAGATTACAGCGATAAAAATTTAAAAATTTAAATTTATGTAGACCAGTACTGGTGCAGAGAACAAGTCAGTTGGCCACTTTCTCTTTTTTTGCCAAAAAAAAAAATTGTATTTAAACAAATAATCTGTCCTTTAAAATCAAAAGCCACTCATATATTTTATCTTTAATTTTATTATTATATTATTTTTTATATTTAATGTATTGTTTAATGTTCAACTTTGTGTTGATCATTTTATGGCAAATAAAAATGTAAATGTTTGGTTGTTTAAATTCTTAAATCTCAGAAATTTCTTCACCCATTGCCTTGATAATTTGGCTTAACTTTACATTTAAATATGCTCATGGTTTAATATATCTACTATTATAAAATATAAGGTGAAACTATACATATTTATTTAAAATGCACTATCAGTTGGATGTAAAAGCCACTCATGTGGTTCACAATCTTTTACAATACTGTTTCAATGTTAAAGAATTTCAAATATCAATCATGGCAATGCATTGAAATTGCGCTATATCATTTATCATAGCGTTCATTTCATGTGCATTAGAACTACCTTCCACCTTCCTCAAAAGATTTCGCGTACTCCTAAGATAGTTGATCTAGCTTCTTCTTAATAACAACTTGATTAAATATAGAGTTGCAAAAATTGTAGTGGAAAAATAAACCATACTCATGAAAGAAATCCTATGGTAAATGGCACAACCTTATTTCAACATAATGTTAGAGAAAATAATTTATTAAAAAATAAAATAAACTGAAATCAATAAAAAAACTGATTTCTAAAAGGAACATAAACGGTGATAAGTATTATTCAAGAGTTAAATAATAGCAAATCAAATATTTGAAATGTATCATACTACTTCCAGAATCCACTGGGAGGAAAATAAACAATGAATATAAGGGCATACAATAGTATTGACTTACATAAGGAGAATCATATCACTTCTTCAAATGATAATTTCAATTACTGTAGCCATTTAACAATTTTTGACTAATCAATAACAAAAACAAAAAGGGAAATGTCGTTTTCTGAAGAGAAAGTAGTAAATGTTTAAAACTCTATAAGTCTGCAACGAATCGTCCGATTTCATTGATTATTTTTTATTGTCGGGAATCCAGAGCGCTTTCAAATGAATATGGGTATTATCCATAAAAAATTGTGTACTTTTTTAGTTATCGGCAAATAAAATTTTTAACTCATCGTAACATTTTTTGAGCTTGTTTTCGGGAAAGTATGTCATACAAATAAATTAAAAGGGTTTCAAGGGGAAGACTTTAGCCAAGTTTCGTTAAAGCCGTTTTGGCGTTACAGTTTATAGTGACACGTTTTTCGACTGCTATTTCGAAACGAAAGGCCGGATGGTAATAAAATGTTCAAAAGCACTTCTGAATTTGATTACAACGCTGTGCCAAATTTTCAAAACAATCAGTGAAGAACTTTCGGAGAATAGTGACTTTGAACAAAAAAACATATACATTTTTATTTTAATCACACATATAAAATTATTGTAAGGCAGAAGTACTATTCCAGAAACCTTTCCCGGGGTGTACCCAACAGCTTCCTAAAGTTTCAAGGCGATCTGATGAATGGTTTAGTAACCCATAAAGGATAGACACACAGACAGACATACATT